GTGGATTTTTTAAAGAATATTTTCAAAGGACCATCAGATCCCTAAACGTGGATTTTTTAAAGAATATTTTTCAAGGACTAGTAAAACAATAAGCGTGGATTTTTTAAAGAACCTTTTTCAAGGACTTTCAGGCCCATAAACGTGGATTTTTAGAGAATATTTTTCAAGGACTAGTAAAACAATAAGCGTGGATTTTTTAAAGAACCTTTTTCAAGGACTTTCAAGCCCATAAACGTGGATTTTTAGAGAATATTTTTCAAGCACTAGCAAACCCATAAACGTGGATTTTTTAAAGAATTTTTTTCAAGGACTAGCTATACTATAAACTTGGAATTTTTGAAGAATATTTTTCAAGAACTAGTAGGACCATAAAATTGAATTTTTTAAAGAATATTTTTACAAGGACTAGTAGGACCATAAACGTGGATTTTTTAAAGAATATTTTTACAAGGACTAGTAGGACCATAAACGTGGATTTTTTAAAGAATATTTTTACAAGGACTAGTAGGACCATAAACGTGGATTTTTTAAAGAATATTTTTACAAGGACTAGTAGGACCATAAACGTGGATTTTTTAAAGAATATTCCAAGGACTAGCAAGCCCATTGAGATTTTCAAGAATCATTTACCTATAAACATGAAACTCATGCAAATATTTATATTTCATAGTATTTTTTTCATGGATCTTTTTTTAAGAATAATTTTTTTTTAAGCTCATCTGCCGATAGTCTTGGATTTTTAAGGGTCATGTGGATTAAGTAAAAAATTTTTTAGGACTTTTGGAGACGGAATCTTGGCTATTTTTAAGAATATTTTTTCCGCGACTCGTGGAATTTTAAAATATTTTTTTTTGTTACCATTAACTCATAAACATGGATTTTTCTCTTCAATACCCGTACTGAAAATCGGATCTACTATCATGTATATTACCCAAAAATTTTTCGTATGGACCATAGCAACTTGTTTTTTTTTTTAAGATTTTGCTCCAAAGGAATTTTAATCAGTAGATTTTGTGTCTCTTTCCTTTTAAAAATCTTCCTTCCTTGTTATTGAAATGAACGCAATTTTTTTAATAATTTTAAACTGATTTCTAGGAAATAATCTCAGCATTGCATCACCTAGAAATCAGCAATGGTGACCTTTTTTGCTGAACCCGAGGAATCTAAAGTTAGAAAGTAATGGAAACACAACAACAAAAATCAGAATCTTATCATCAACCAGAGAATTGCACAGAGATTTGAAACGTTGTGTCTCGAATAAGAAGTGAGTGGAGAAAATGTATAACGTTTAAGCGTAAAATTTTTAAAATTTGTAAAAAGTATTTGAGGAGTTTTAGTCGGAGCCAGGAACAGTATTTTTACCCATGCATTATTTAAAAGTACCGGTGTTCACTCGAGTTTTTAAAACTCAATATTCTGGGTTTAGAACTTCAATCAATACTTAAGCTGCATAACTAAGTGCTCTTTATAACTAAATGTACAGGGTGAGATAAAAAAAACTGCAACAAAGTCAAATGCCACAATTTTTACATTTTTTAAGTGCTATTGAATGAAAGCATTTTGATCGATTTCCTTTTTGAAATAAAGTTAAACAGTTCTGCAAAAATATTAGCTTTGGTTTTTGACCGGTGGAATTGGCCCTGAATATTTACGTCAATTGCTATCCAAAATGCTAGGCTTCTGATCTGTCCTAAACTCTAGCTGCATGCACCTTCGCGTCGATCGGTCTATAATTGTGACCTGTAGAGTAACTGTAAAGTCAGAAATTTTGCAATATTATCACCACGATAGGCCTTTATTCTGACCCTATCCTTTAGTCAATACAAAATTTCGAGAGGATCGTCCTATAATTGCGACCGGTAGCGTTACGGATGCATGTATACACATAGCTAAACTGACTCAGCTCGGCGAGATTGGAAGATCGATGTATAACATCGTGGCTCAATGACCAATAATTCGAGTTGTTACAAATTTGTTGGCCTAATCAAAATCATAATACCCCCCCAACACATGCATATTGTTGTTCGGGTATAAAAATTAAAGGAACTTTAACAAAAAGGAATGGATAAATGGATCTAGGAAAAGTCAATAAAAAAAAGTCTTAAAGTCGTGCGGAACCGACTTTTTGATACCCTACACCACTTTCCACATAACAATTAAAAGTTTTATAGGAGAATTCAATCATACAAGCTATGATTATAATTTTAATTTTAAGTTCAAAGGACTAAACATGCCGAAGCATTTGTATCTTTTAAATTCGGACTTGTATTGACCATTTGGTGCACAATTAATTAGAAATCGGATAAAGATATATATGGGAGCTATATCCAAATGTGAACCGATCTCGATAAAATTTGGTAAATATATTTCTGAGCTGTATTGGATATATATCCCTGAATATCGTTGTTACGAAGTGCATATTACGGCTGTGGGTAACAAATATAACAAATCGAATGAACCGATATCTGAACCGATCTTCACCAAATTTGACATACTAGCTTCTAGACTCAATTCGATCGTTAGTGCCAAATTTCATCCAATTTGGGCAAATATTAAACGTTTGGTGCACAATAAAAGGTAAATCGGACGAAGTTATATATGGGAGCTATGTCCAAATCTGAACCGATCTCGATAAAACTTAGCAAATGTATTTCTGAGCTGTATTTGATATATTTCCCCAAATATTGTTGTTACTGAGTGCATATTACGGCCGCGGAGGACAAAAATAACAAATCGGATGAGCAATATATATATAGGAGCTATAGCTATATCCGAACCGATCTCGATCAAATTTGGCATACTTATTTTCAGGCCTAATTTGGTTGTATGTGCAAAATTCCACACCATTTGGGCTGATATTACACGTTTGGTGTACAATAAAAGGCAAATCGGACGAAGATATATATGGGAGCTATATCTAAATTTTGACCGATTATCTCGAATTTCAATAGGGTTTGTCCTTGGACCAAACAAGTGATCTGTGCAAAATTTCATCTGGATCGGACAATTAAAGCGACCTGTACTTTGTTTACAAAGATACATGGAAAGACGGACGGACGGACAATACGTTTTCAAATCTCCAAGGGAAGGAAGGTTTTATTTTTGAAAGATGGGTTTACATAAATAACGAAGTGTTCAGGACATGGTTTACGGACTCTCAGTTATAGATTTTTCAACTGGTTATCATCATAGAAAATGTTGACGAATATACTACAGCGACGATTAGGTGGGAGGGTGTTAACGGATTTTGTATGTGTAATTTTTCTGAAGAGGATTCCCCTCAACGATCATAGGGGCCTAAAAAATTAGTAAGATACCTTTTTATACCCTCCACCATACTATGGAGGGTATATTAATTTTGTCATTCCGTTTGTAACTCCTCGAAATATTCATGTCAGACCCAACAAAGTATATATATTCTTGATCAGCGTAAAATTCTAAGACAATTTAGCCATGTCCGTCTGTCTGTCTGTCTGTCTGTTGTAATCACGCTATCTTTCGAACAAATTGAGATAGGAGGCTAAAATTTTGCACACATGTATATTTTCCCAGTAGGCAGGTTAAGTTCGTAAATGGGCCATGTAGGTCCAAGTTACCATATAGCCCCATATACCGGTACCTCCCGATATTCGGTATTTTGATGATTTTAGCGACATTATTCACCGGAATTATTTCAATTTTGGTATTTGAAATTCGTAATGGATACTACAGCCTAAGACAGAAAATTATCTGTGCAGGTCCACGTCTTCATATAGCCCCCATATAACGGTACCCCCCGATATTCGGTATTTTGATGATTTTAGCGACATTGTTTACCGGAATCGTTTCAAATTTGGTACTTGAGGTTCGTAATGGATACTTCATCCAAAGTCAAAAAAGCCCCCATATAACGGTACCCCCCGATATTCGGTATTTTAATGATTTTAGCGACATTATTTACAGGGATTGTTTCAAATATCACATGTGAAGTTCGTAATGGATACTTCAGCCCATGCCAGAAAATTGTCTGTGCAGGTCCACGTCTTCGTCAAGCCCCCATATAACGGTACCCCCCATATTCGTGTTTTGACGATTTTAGCTACATTATAAACAGATTTTTATTCAAGTTTCGCATTTAAATATTGTAATAATTTATGACAAAAGTTGCCCATGCAGGTCCACGTCGTCGTATAAGCATTCGGTATTTTTAAGATTTTAACAGAATTTTTAACGGTTTTTTTTTGGAAATTGCCAAATTTGTACCAAATGGTGGAGGGTATAAAAACTTCGGCCCGGTCGAACTTACAGCTTTTTTACTTGTTTCTACATTGAATGGGCTATATTGTGTCGTAGATATAATGCTGTGGTTATAATAAATTAAGGCCACGTCAGTCTCACAATTAGTCAAAACAAATTGAGAGTTTATACGAAAAATTTCCCAAAATAAGATGTTTGTTTGCAGATAAGTCAAGGTTAAGTGGGGGCACAATAGTTCAATGAATTTCGTATATCCGCTTTCATTTGATAATGATATTACTCGATATTTTGGAAAAGCGAAAAAAAATTTTGCAGATTATTCAAATTAAAAGGCACGCGACAATTCCAATCATGTCGAAGTATTAGAGATATTCAGATATCCAGGTGTTCATTTTTTAATTTAGAATTCAGCGAATACAAACTGGGACGAAGAAAAAAATAGGTCCCTTATGACCTTACTATTTTTGGGTTCACATTTGATTTAAATTCCCCCCAAATGTGAAGTGTTCAGAAAACTCAAACATCAACAAAATTGACCTTAACGTTGTTCTAAATTCTTGAATTAATCAAATTGTCCATGTACTCACTTTTCAATATCCTGGGGTTGTTTGATTTTTTTCAAACTTTTAAAAGAGTGCCTTTGGAGATTATTTCTTAAATAACAACATTCAGTTGAAAATATTTTTTTTTATCGCCAAAACCAAAAAATCAGCCTTGGCATTTATTTTTTAGATTTTTGTGTTTGTTTTTTTGAAAATACTTCATAGAAATTTAGGCATGGGGCTTCATTTCCTTGGCCAAAGATTCGAGTTGTTGCTTGGCAGATTCGATCAACTTGTCGGCGGTTTCCTTGAATTTCTTGCTTTCTTCGGAGTTTTCCAAGGCCTTGATTTTCTTGGCAACATCTTCAACGCCTTCGTTGACCTTGTTCAATTGTTGGGAGACTTCTTGGCTCAAACCGGGATGGGCGGTCTTGAAGTCATTGCCGAGCTTTTCCAAGGCGGCGCGCAAATCCTTGATGACGGGGGTTTCCTTCAATTGTTCGGTCTGGGGGGGAGAAGAAAATAAAATTAGTATTTCCTTCAAATGGAGGAAATTTTTTTTCCGAAAAACTTACATCCTTTTGGGCACCCTCAATCCAGACCTTCATTCTTTCTTGGGCAGCATTGAAACGTTCGAGGGCCTTCTTTTGGAAATCATCAGCATCCTTGGTGCCGGTGGCCTCAAAGAAGGCATTGCCCAAATTCTTCAAACCATTTTGGATGGCACTGAAGACAGCATCGCCGGATACCTCAGGGGCGGGGGCAGATTCACGGGGAACGCGAGCAGAGGCAGCCTTTAAAGAGAATTATATTCCACATTTAATTCCAGGATATTTCAAGGATACATTTGCCAACAATCTCAATACTCACAGCCAAGATGGTAAGACCAACAAGGAAGAACAATTTCGACATTTTGATTTGTGGTGGTTCTTTTGCCTTCGAAGTTTCAGACACAAGTGATTTGAACTATGTCGGGCCATTAGAATTTATACAGCGATGATGTGATCATGATGATGCCCTTTTGGCTGCTTATCATCCGCCACCAAGCCATCCAGAGCATAATTCCATGCTATCACCAAGCGTTCCGTAATACAAGTCTAGCTTATATTTGTCGCATTGATGGTGGTTATCAGCTAGCTTAGCATTGGAAATTGTCAAAATATCAAAGCGTTTGTATTTTTTTTTGTACAGTGGGTAGTGAGAAATTGTAGGAACTGAAGAGACAGAGGCTGTTCGAATGGGAAAGTACACCCTGTACCAATAGAATATAGAATTCAAACCCATTTAGGACGTATGTGACTTTTAAAACTAAGTTAGCCAAAGATTAGGTCGTGTGCAATGACGGAAGACACAATACAAGAAATATTGGAAAACTGACAAAACCTTGGAAAGGGCATACCTAAAAACCTTCGAAATCATCCCTACCTCGAATTTCCAAAATCTAAAATCGTTTATGCAGGATATAAGTTTAACACCGGCGATTTCTCTGAGAGCTGTGGAAAACCAAAACTAGAGTTAACGAAAGCTGAGTTAAGGAATTGTTATGGGTGATTACCAAAAATATGAAATAACAAAAAACAAGTTATCAGTCGGTTTAGCCGGCAGCTGTTTACCATCAGCCAATGTTCGATTATTTAAATATATTTTGACTTGCGTTGTGATTATTCCAAATTTTGACCCTTAGCTGAAGAAGTACCAGAAGGAATGGTCTGATTTATCCCATCTTTATAACAGAACATGTGCTGTGATGAGCTTCATAGATATTCAAAATGTTGACCCTTTGTGGGGAAGTTCCAGAAGGATTGGACCGATATATCCCATCTTCACAGCAGATCTTGTGTTAGTAGAAATTATGGGATGTGTGAAATATGAAGAGAACCGTATGCTTATTTGGAATTTTATAATCGTTTTGGTTATTCAAAACGTTGACCCTTTGTGGGAGAGGTACCAGAAGGAATGGTCCTATCTCGACCATCTTTTTAACAGATTGATAGAAATATTGAGATGTGCCAAGATGCCTGAATGGAATCGAATATTGCGTTTTATGAGTTTCATGGATACTCCTTCTCCACACCAGACCTTGGGTTAATAAAAACTTGGTGATGTGTTTAATTTGAAGATAATCGGACTCTTAGGTCACATTTTATAAGAGTTATAATTATTTAAAATTTAGACCCTTAGTGGGGGAGGTACTTGATGGAGTTGACCGATGTTGTCCATTTTCGCATCTGACCTAGCAGAGATGCGAATATAGGGATTTGCAAAGTTGCTGTAAAATCGGATTGCCCTCTCTCTCTCTCTCTCTCTGTGTAGTAAAAAATCTGTCTTTGAAAAGTTCGACCTTTTGTTGGGGGAGGTACCTGAAGGAGTGGACCAATTTCATTTCAGAAGAAGTTTGATAATCATATTACGTTATACCAAGTTTGAACCAAATTGGATACTCCCTTCGACCTTTGGTACAAATTATGGCCTTCAAACAGCCAAGGAAACCGTCACACGTTGACCGAATGTTGCTCTGCGGAATTTTGGCCCATTCCCGGCGAAGCGCTTGTTTGAGTTGATCGACACTTTGGTGTTTTTTAGTGCCAACCTTGCTTTCCAAAATACTCCAGACACAATGGTCCAACGGATTGGTATCCGGAGATTTTGTGCGCTGGAAATGAGGGAACCTAATTTTGTAAAGCGGGAGCACTCTCCACCACTCTCACAGTGTGCGAGTGCGACGGTGCTGAGTCCTGTTTAAATGTTCAAGGTCCTGTTTAAATGTTCAAGGCCCTCTAAAATATTTTCGCGATAATATTCGGCATTTATTCTGATGACACGATCGATTAATACGAGCGGAGAGCGACCATCAGCTGTTTTGGCGGCCATCCCCATGGCCGGCGCTTGAGTTCTGGTGTCTGGTGGCCAACCGAAGGTGCACATTTTGAGCTGACCTCTTTGGAAAGTAAACACGATCATTTTGTTTGTTTACAAACTGCTGGGCAACGAATGTTTTCTCATCGGAGAAAACCAAATTCGGCAGTTCACCACTTTCGGCCAAGCTCTTTTGAGTCTTTTTTCTTTCTGTTGCGGTTTAAGTTGTTGCACTTTTTGGAATTTCAATGGCTTTACCTCGAGGTCATTTTTCAATATTATTTCAGTATTTACCGAATGGAATATTGCTATATGTTCAGCTCACGAGCTGACGACCCGACGCGGGTTTCGATCAAGTCGCTTCTTTACTTTTCGAACCATTTCTGTTGATGTCTTCTTCCGTCCACTTCCTTGACGTCGGGCTACGCTAACAGTATCACTGTAACGAGCCATGGTACGAGACTCAAAAGATTTATTCAGATTTAAATGCTGGAGTGCTCCAACGATAGCCACTTGCGGGTTTCCAGCCAAATATAAAGAAATCACACCATCACACTTGAATTCCATTTTTTTCTGGAAAATTTTCACCAAAATGCTTTTGTACGCTTGTAAAAAATATAATGAGCTGTCATTGGAATAATTTTAACAGCTGTCGGACGAGTGGCTAGGAAATGACAGCAGTCTGAAGTTGGTTGCAGTTTTTTCATTGCAGCCTGTATGCATAAAATGAATAGATTCCAAGGAATCTTTTTTCGAAAATTTCCAAAAATGTTGAAGGGAGGGTAGATCTTGCCCCCTCTATTTTGGTTACTGTGAGCTATCAACTTTCAAAACGCCGATACAAGCGTCTTCTATGTTTAGCTCAATCAATTTGCTGAATTTTTTTATATTATTATTTTTGATGTTGCACAGTGTAATTTTAGCTGAAACCCTAAAATATCGAAAGCTAGGAAGTGCCGCCATTTAGGTACTATACACAACAGTAGACGTATATATGAAATTTTCTGCTGGGAAAATTTATCCCATATTCCCATTTAATGTTAATCATTCGAAATCAAATTTCAAAACACATCACCACAATAGAGTGAGGTGTTAAAGGGCTTAGAATTTTATGCTAATCAAAAAAGTAATTATATTCCATAGGGTTTCCCATAAAGATTTAAAGGTGTTGCAAATTGAATACCACAATAAATATTCATACCCTCACCCTACCAAATTGTGGGGCCAAACCAATCTTTTGCTTTTCACTGTAAGCACTGTCTACTTCTTATCACAAAAACTTAAACTAACTCTAGTTTTGAATTTTATTTGACAGAACAAAAAAAAAAAAAAACATAACCAGAAGTTCATGTTTTTGTGTTTTCGACAATCGAAACTTAAACACATACCTACACACATACACATTTACAATGCAACTAATCAACAGACAAACATACAAATATTTTGCCACACATTTCTCCCTGTGTTATTATCAGCCTCCCCACAAAACACTTTGGACTTGGAGCTCGGTTTCAAAAATAGCCTCCCCAAACACTTACGTATGTTCTACACATTGAACAATGCAAGATAATAATAATAATAGTTTAGAAATATTTGAAAAGTTTATGAAACATATATATTTCTGTACATACATACATACAAACATACTGTCGTGTTCTTACAGAAATGCTGTTTGGTCAAACTTATTTTTTTGAACAAAGGCATCGAATATTTTTTGCTTATTTCCGGCCTTGAACATTGCTCTTTGTGTCGCGTGCTTACACCATAATTTGTTTACAATAAAATTTGAAAACACCATAAGGTAACGGGTTGATGATGGTGTGTATTTTACATTATCGCCCAGTATTTTGGTTTGAAATTAAAACTAAAGAAAATTATAACAAGTAAAACAAGTAAGCAAAGGCTACAGTCGAGCGGGGCCAACCGTTGAATACCCTACAACACTAGAATAAACGATACAGTTTATATAGGCGAGATACTCGAAAGAATTCCACAAGATATTGTGACAAATAATAAAAGAAAACCATCAGGTTTCGTTCTCTAATTTTCGAATAATAGCAACTTTAACTAATTTGCTCATTTCCAATTTATTGGAAGATGTTGCACGTAAATGGTCTTCCTAGATCTGGAATCAATATTTCCCAAAGACCTATAATCTCTCAGAAGTGGCAAAAGATTAACATTTATTATTGGTTTTTGACTGAAACGCATTTATATGAGATACAGACATTTGACAATATTCTTCAACGAAATCAGCGTTAACGAAATAGTCAGAAGTGAATTCTCCAAAAAGTCACTGGAATGGACATTTTCGTATTTTGTCTACAAAAGTTGGCAAACTCCTTCACACATTGAATATTTTTGGATGGCCATCCAAAACTGCTTGGCTTTTGCAATGTCCGGTAACCCCCATTCAAATGTGCGTGAAGATCGGGCGATAATTACGACCTGCTGACAATTTTGCAGTTTTTTGGTCCATTTCAACCCCTAAATATATGGCGATCATCTCCAAAAAGAATAGGCTTTTATTCTGACCCACATCTTATCTCCATGCAAAATTTCGTAAGGATCGGGCCATAAATGCGATCTGTATATGATATCCTGATATCCTAACTACTTAGTTTTGTTAGCTGTAAAAATATTACCAAATGTTTGATTCAAAATGAAAATATGCCAAAAATGTGACAAAATTGAAAAATTGTGAGAAAATTTTAAAAAATCAATATTTTCATCTTTAGGGGGATATTTTTATGCGATTTTTTTAGACGTTTTTTGTTTCCTGCCAAGAGGCCATTCTGAATTAATGAGAACTGTCGAAATCAGTTCAGCCATTCTCGACATATAAGAGATCTTTCAAGCATATCTTCTTTGATAGACATATATATCGCACATATTTTGCTATATATCCGTTTTGTTGGATGTAAAGATCAGAAGTAACCTTGTCATGGCTTTGTGATTTCGCCGGGATTTAAAATATTCGCGGTTTAATGAAAAATGTTGAATTTTTTCAACAAAAAAGATATGGTCTATTATACCCGCTAAATATTATCCGATGACCACCCAAATTGGTAGGCTTCTTCCGCGCCCTAAACTCTAGCTACATGCGATAGATTGGTCTATAATTGCGACCTGTATAGCTATTGCAAAATCCAACATTTTTTCAGTATTTGGTCCATTTCAACCCCTAAACATTTGGCGATCATCTCCAAAAGAAATAGGGTTCTATTCTGGCCCCATCCCCATCTACATTTTAAATTTCGTGAAGATCGGGCCATAATTGCGACCTGTAGAGTGATTACAAATTAACATGGACAGACGGACGGACGGACATACATAGCTAGATCGACTCAGCTCGGCGAGCTAGGAAGATCCATATATACTTTCCCATGTGGGAAACCAATATTTCGAGGTGTTACATAATTTCTGGCCCAATCAAACTTATAATACCCCCAACACATAGTGTTGTAGGGTATAAAAACATTAAGTTCGGCCGGGCCAAACTTTTAATACCCTCCACCTTAGGGTAAAAGAAACATTAGAAGCAATGTGGCAAAAACCATTAAAATGTCGAATATCGGGAGGTACCGTTATATGGGGGCTACACCAAAACGTGGACCTATAATTACAATGTTTCGCCACACGAAGTAGGACCCATTATGACCCACAAATACCAATTTTTAGACAAATCAGGAAAAAACCATCAAAATACCGAATATCGGGAGGTACCGTTATATGGGGGCTATACCAAATCATGGAGCCATACATGCAATGTTTCGCCACCGGAGCTGGAAACCATTATGACCCACAAATACCAATTTTTAGACAAATCCGTGAATAAATGTGGCAAAAAAAAAACTAAAATACCGCACATAGGGAGGTACCTTTATATGGAGGCTATACCACAACGTGGACCTATACATGCAATGTTTTGCCACACGCTCACCCGTTATGACCTACAAATACCAATTTCCAGACAAATCCGTTAAAAAAAATGTGGCATAAATCATCAAAATACCGAATATTGGAAGGTACCGTTATATGGGGACTATACCAGGACGTGGACCGATATATCTCATTTTCAATACCAACCATCCTAGACACAATGCAAATAGCTCTGCTAAATTTTGGCGCTCTACGTCAGATAATGTGGGCTGTATTGTGATTTCAACAGACACACAGACGGACAGACAGACGGACAGACAGACAGACGGACATCGTTAAATCTACTTAGAATTTTATGCTGATTATGAATATATATATATATATATATATATATATATATATATATATATATATATATATATATATATATACTTTATAGGGTCTAAGACGAATATTTAAGGATGTTACAAACGGAATGACAAAGTTAATATACTCTCCTTTCCAAGGTGGAGGGTATAAAAACGGGTTCTGTCATATGAATTTCAATCACTGAAAAGTGCTCTCGAACGTATTTATGCCCTATACCACATTATGTCTTTGTGCATTTGTTTGTCAAATGGAGAAGGAAGCGAGGTAGACTCATAATATGCATATCAGTCAGTCCGCCTGTCCATTTGCCCATGTATTCTTGTGAACAAAACTCAGGTCGCATTTATTATCCGATTGAGATGAAATTTTCTTAACAATATTTGTTTGGCCCAAGGACTATTGAAATTAGTGAAAATCGGTTCAATTTTAAATATAGCTCCCATATTACATGGCCCATGTCAATCCAAATGACCTGCATTTTGGTACATTCAACCGAATTCAGTCTAAAAGCAAGTACATCAGATTTGGTGAAAATCGTTTTAGATGTAGTTATAGCTCCCATATATATGTTTCAACCGATTTGGTGTTATAGTCCCTCACATGCGTAATATGCACTCCATAAGAATGATTTTTGGTACCAGATATCAAATACAGGACAGAAATACCGCTGTGAAATATTGAGGTCGGATCAGATATGTATATAGCTCCCATATATATATCTTTATTCGATATCAGGTTTATTGTGCACCAAATGGCTAATATCAGCACAAATGAACTGAATTTTAGTTTCATCCTAGAAACAAGTACTTCAAATTTGGTGAAAATCGGTTTAGATATAGTCCCATATATATGTTTCATCCGTTTGGGGTTTTGAGTCCCTCACATGCATAATATTCACTCGACAACAATGATCTTCGGTACCAGATATCAGATACAGCTCTGAAATAAGTTCCAAAAAATCCTTTTTTTTTAAACTATAGATTTAAGGTTGTTTGCCAATATAGAGTATAGCAAAAATTGGGGATATTGGTTTATTTGTACCCACAAACGGCCAAATTTATATTTCGAATATGGTAATATTTTTTATGAAATTTAGGCCATTTTTTTTTAATGAAAGGACATAGGTCCATTTGCTCTGCTAACCCCCCATTCGAAATAATGTCAAAAGTTGTAAAAACTGGAGAATCTCGAATAATGCTCTCCGAATTAATTTAAATTGTGGACTTAACTTGGATGATGGACACAGATTTTTCCAAATCGTGGATTTTTGTTCTATGAAATTATGAAAAGAAAAATATTTCCTTTATACTTAATACAAGTTTTGATTTCAGTTTTTCATAGAACCAGAATCAAGCCGAATAGTCGCTTTATATAATATATATATATATATATATATATATATATATATATATATATATATATATATATATATATGTATATTATATATATATATATTATATATATATTATATATATATAATATATAATATTTTTTTAAGAAAAACTTTCCAAGTTCTTCCTGGCTTATAATCAATGAATCCCTGTCCATGAATAAATCGTTGATTTTTTAAGGCAATTTTTTAGGGCTTCCAGTCCACTAATTAAGTAAATTAAATCAATAATTTAAAAATCAAGGACTTGCTGTTCATATATTAAACGTGATTTTTTTTTAATTTCCCAGGACTTCATGGTCAATTATTAATAACTTCCTATTTACATAAAAAATAGCGATTTTTATAAATATTTTTCATGGATCTCCAGGGACTTTGTGCCTAAAAAATCAAAATAAAAACAAAAAAAAAAAAAAAAATCAAGGATTTTTTAAGAATTTCTTTTTTTCTGGCTAAAACGTGGTCAAAGTTTTATGTCATTATTTTGTTAATTTTTTTTTTTTAATTTGCTAAGAATTTTTTGCAAAAATCATCGATGGTATAAGAGTTGATAAGCCCAAATATCATATATTTATTGGTTAAGAATTGTGATTTTTTAATATATTTTTCAAGGACTTCTTTTTGGATTTTTTTAAATATATTTTTAAAAAGATGCATATTTGTAATATTTTAAATATTTTCAAAGGATTCTTTTTTTAGAACTTTTTCAAAGACTGTGTGGGTTTTTAAACATTTTTCAAAATTTTTTTGGTTAAAAAATCATAGATATTTGCTGGTATTGGAAAAAGATTGTGTATTTTTTATTTTTAATGGAAGTGGAATCTACTTTTGTACTCTCAGCCGTATACACTCAGAGGATATTTATCATTTGATACGGGCCTATCTCTCTTTGGATGAAATCCATTTTAGGCCATTTGTGGTTGATCTCAGTGTGTCCTTCCGCATGTATGTCTGCCTGGCTTGTGTGCACGACAACTCTCGCAGGCAGTAACTGATTTGATTCAAACTCTGTACATCGTAATATTATTATCAAACTCAAATCGATTTCGGATATGGGGAATTTCGGACCACAATTTTCCACAAAGTTAAAAAATGTCCGCAAAAAATAATTTGGCTTATAGAATTTAAAGGATCATCCAATTTTGTGCAATTTTTGCAAATCCTAATATTTTTGTAAGCTCTAGTGCAGGTTGGAATATGGACAATTCTTGGACCACTCTTTCTGACACCTCGCCCAAATTTTGAAGCCCATAAAACTCGAAATAAGCATCTGATTCATTCTAAACATTACACATTCCAATATTTATACCAACACAAGATCTATTGTTAAGACTACTGTTATCGACCTACCTCTTCTCGTACCTCCTCCACAAAGGGTCTACATTGTTTTTAAATTTCTAGGACCAATATCAAAAAGTAATTACAAATCTTTTTATCTATTGTAAAATCTATCTAGTGTACATTTTCAATTTTTTAATCACTTTATGCCCAGGCGTCGTTGATTTTTTAAGAAAACATTTCAAAGGACTTCCGGGTATAAAAATTTAGTTAAAACAAATTTTTACGGACTTTCTGATAAGAACATCGAAATAAGGACTTATTTAAATTTTATTTATGAACTCCTGGGAAAACTCGCGAATTTTTAAAGCTTATTCTTACAAATTCCCATTATTTTCTAATGAATTCATACGTAAAAATCTTGGGCAATTTAAAATAATTACGGAACTTCCTGCTAAAAAAAAGGATTTTTTTTTCAAGGATTCCATGTCTAAAAATTTTGGAGTTAAAAATCAAACTCTTGAAGGTTTTCTTGGTACAAAGTCATTTTTTCAACATTTTCCTCAAATGCATAAAAATTTAAGATTTTTAGGATTAAAAAAAATTATTTTTAAATATACCATTTTATTTTTTGAAAAATCATTAAATTTTCTGAAAAATATTCAAAAATTAATTAAAATAACTTAAGATATTTTTAAGAATTTCTGCCGAAAAGTCATGAGTCTGAACTTTCCTTCAAAAAATTTGGATTTGTTATAAAACTATTTTTTCAAGAGGTTACTGGGTCAATTATGCAAAAACTTTATTTTAGATTTTTAAATGTTTAAAAAAATTTCAATTTTTTATTTTGTTTGAAGACATGACACTTCGAATCACTAATACCTATTTATTCTGTCTTCTCACCATCCTTGTGTTCGGGCAGCAGTGACTTCTTGACTTCGTCGATGAATTTCAATGATGACTCTTTCAAATGTTTGGCCTCCTCGGTATTTGTCAGCTCTTCGATTTTGGCAATAATCGCCGATGAAGTGGATTTCACGGTGTCGACATGCTGGGAGATATTATTATAGGCTTCTGGTTTTTCCTCCTTAAACTTGGCCACTTGGCTATCGACATTTTCCTTGACGGTTTCAATGCCCTGATCGATGGTGTGGCGTAAATCCTTTACAATGTCATTGTTTTCCAATTCCTTGGCCTGCGAAAAAAAGAAGAAACAAATATTTATTAATAACTTAACAAAGATTTCCGATGCAGTAGCATACCTGCTCCTTCAGCTTGGTAGTCCACAAATGGAATTGATTGACCAAAAACTCTACATGTTCGCCGGCCTTCTGTTTCATTTCATCGGTATTGGATCCAGTTAGGTCCTGGACAAACTTCTCCACATCCTTGAGACCCGAATCGATTTTTTCCGATAAATCATCGGTTTTGGGTACTTCACGTACAACACGAGCTGAGGCGACCTATAACAGATTTTAATAATTGTTCATAAAAATCTGCTGCTCCTCCTTTAGCCTATATGACGTGGAAACTTACAGCAATAATCGCCAGACCAATAATTAGAATTTGTTTCATGTTGTTATTATAGTTTTTAGGAGCCGGTATTATTTCTCTTCCCAAAGTTCAGACACTTCTGATTTCAGTCGAATCTACCTCAATCCATTTATATGTTATACCAGTCTGCCCAGTATAACAGTTTCACTCTTATCGTACCGTGTGCATGTGCACCAATTACATATTGTTATTTTTCTGACGAATGTGAACCAATCAATCAGAACAGAACAAAAATAGAAGAAGAAAACAACGAACAATAAAACTGTTACAGAGGTGTCAAAGGTGGAATCGGATCGAATCGAATCGTATGGGATTGATAGACATTGCAATCGCCGGCAAAAATATAAAGAACAGTGTCGGGTAATGATGTTGTGACTGCTGATGTAAGAAATATTTGAAAATCTTCTACAGCTGCCGATGGAAGAAATATTTGAAAATCTTCTACAGCTGGAAGAGTTTAAACAGGACTTCTACGACTAGAAAACCCTTTACGGGTAGAAAAACTTATACAAGTCCTCTACGACTAGAATGTCTTCTATAGCGAGAAGACCCTTAACAGGTCTTCTATGGTAAGAAGACTTTTTACAGGTATCCTACAGTTGGAAGACCATTTACAAATCTTATATGGCAAGAAGACCTTCTACAGATCTTCTACAGCAAGAAGATCTTCTACAATTGATCTACGGCTAGAATACCTTCTATATGTCTTTTGCGGTTAGAGGGCCTTCGTCAGGTCTTCTACGTCTAGAGGACCTTCTACAGGTCTTCTATGGATAGAAGATCTTCTATAGCTCTTCCATGGCCAGAAGGTCTTCTGTTGCCAGAAGACCATCAACAGGTCTTATATGGCTGGAAGACTTCTTACAGGTCTTCTACAGCTAGAAGATCTTCTACAATTGATCTACGGCTAGAAGACCCTCAACAAGTCTTCTACGGCTAGAATACCTTCTATATGTCTTTTGCGGTTAGAGGGCCTTCTTCAGATCTTCTACGGCTAAAGGACCTTCTACAGGTCTTCTACGGATAGATGACCTCCTAAAAGTCTTCTATGGCTAAAACACCTTCTTCAGGTTTTTACGGCTATAAGATCTTCTATAGGTCTTCCATGGCCAGAAGGTCTTCTATAGCCAGAAGACCATCAACAGGTCTTCTATGGCTGGAAGACTTCTTACAGGTCTTCTACAGCTAGAAGATCTTCTACAAGTGATCTACGGCTAGAAGACACTCTAAAAGTTTTCTACGGCTGGAATACATTCTATATGTTTTCTGCGGTTAGAGGTCTTCTACGGCTAGAGGACCTTCTATAGTTCTTCTATGGATAGAACACCTCTTAAAAGTCTTCTACGGCTAGAAGACCTTCTATAGGTCTTCTGCGGTCAGGGGGCCTTCTACAGGTCTTCTGAAACTGGAAGACCCTCAACAAGTATTCTACGGCTGGAGGACCTTCTATAGGTCTTCTGCGCTAAGAGGCTTCTACAGTTCTGCTACGACTAAAAAAACCTCTATAGATCTTCGACGGCGAGAAGACTTTCTACGGGTCTTTTAATGTTGGAAGACCTTCTATAGGGCTCCTTCGGCTAGAAGATCTAAAACAGATTTCCTACGGCTGGAATATATTCTATAGGTGCCCTTCGGGTAGAAGACTTCTATAGGTATTCTATGGCTAGGACATCTTTTATAAGTTTTCTAAGGATAGAGGACCTTCTACATTTTTTCTGCGATTAGAGGACCTTTTGTAGGTCTTCTATGGCTAAAAGATCTTCTACGGCTAGGAGGCCTTCTAGAGGTCTTCTACGGCTAAAATACCTTCTACAGGTCTTCCTAGAAAACTTCCATTAAATGAACAGACCTATGGCAAATTTCCAGAATTTAAAAAAAAAAACAAGTAAGCAAAGGCTACAGTCGAACGGGGCCGACCGTTGAATACCCTACAACACTATAATAAACGATACTGTTTATATAGGCGAGTTACTCGAAAGAATTCCACAAGATATTGTGACAAATAATAAAAGAAAACCATCAGGTTTCGTTCTCTAATTTTCGAAAAATAGCAACTTAAACTAATTTGCTCATTTCCAATTTTTTGGTAGATGTTGCACGTAAATGGTCTTCCTAGATCTGGAACCAATATTTCCCAAAGACCTATAATCCCTCAGACGTGGCAAAAGATAACCCCCATCCAAATGTGCTTGAGGATCGGGCAATAATTACGACCTGCTGACAATTTTGCAGTTTTTTTTGGTCCATTTCAACCCCTAAATATATGACGATCATCTCCAAAAAGAGTAGGCTTCTATTCTGACCCTCATCTTATCCCCATGCAAAATTTCGTAAGGATCGGGCCATAAATGCGATCTGTATATGATATCCTGATATCCTAACTACTTAGTTTTGTTAGCTGTAGAAATATTACCAAATGTTTAATTCAAAATGAAAATATGCCAAAAATATGACAAAATTGAAAAAAATATGAGAAAATGTTACAAAATCAATATTTTCATCTTTAGAGAGATATTTTTATGCGATTTTTTTAGACGTTTTTTCTTCCCTGCCAAGAGGCCATTCTGAATTAATGAGAACTGTCGAAATCAGTTCAGCCGTTCTCGACATATAAGAGATCTTTCAAGCATATCTTCTTTAATAGACATATATATCGCACATATTTTGCTATATATCCGATTTGTTGGATGTTAACATCAATGTAAAGATCTGAAGTAACCTTGTCATGGCTTTGTGATTTTGCCGGGATTTAAAATATTCGCGGTTTAATGAAAAATTTTGAATTTTTTCGACACAAAAGATATGGTCTATCTTACCCGCTAAATATTATCCGATGACCACCCAAATTGGTAGGCTTCTTCCCTGCACTAGCTACATGCGAAATTCCGCGTCGATTGGTCTATAATTGCGACCTGTATAGCTGCTGCAAAATCCGACATTTTTTCAGTATTTGGTCCATTTCAACCCCTAAACATTTGGCGATCATCTCCAAAAGCAATAGGGTTCTATTCTGACCCCAGTCCCACTTCCATTCTAAATTTCGTGAAGATCGGGCCATAATTGCGACCTGTAGAGTGATTACAAATTAACATGGACAGACGGACAGACGGACAGACGGACGGACGGACATACATAGCTAGATCGACTCAGCTCGGCGAGCTAGGAAGATCCATATATACTTTCCTATGTGGGAAACCAATATTTCGAGGTGTTACATAATTTTTGGCCCAATCAAACTTATAATACCCCCAACACATAGTGTTGTAGGGTATAAAAAAATAAAATGGTTATACTATCTTTGTCGTCCACTGTCCCAGCCAGGCTCCCTTTATTTCGTTTTTTGCATTGTCTGAACTGTAGAGGCTGTTATGCCGCATCAGCACTGATAAAAAAATATATATAATGCTTTGCTTGACTTGACTTATAATTGAAAGTATTTCTTGTCAATTCAACCTAATTTCGAGTGGAAAATTATATCCGCGTTGACAGAAGCGTAGAGATGTTTGGAGATGAATTCACTGAATTCGGAATGAAGTGCTCAGCGTTATTGCATTTAATTTAGCTATGCTCGTAAACAATTCAATTTTTGTCACTTTCAATTTTCATTTTTGTCACAATACAATTGTATTGGCTTTAAATTAGTTTTCTGAAGTGATAGGGTGTGTTGCAAACGGAATGTTAATTTTTTTAAGACTATGATATTTTAAAAATTTTAAAGTGCCTGTATTATTGAAGAACATTTTTCAAGAATTGAATTTATTTTAAGTTTGATGTTTTTAAGATTTTTTTCGAAGATTTTGAGACCGTGGATTGATCTTAAATATCAGGAGTTTTAAAGAAAAGGAGCATATATTTTTTAACAATTTTATATCAAGACCTTCCTTTTAAAAAGCATTGATATTTCGAACATTTGTCTAGGACTTTTGTGACAAATAACACTGTGCGACAAACTTATATATATATATATATATATATATATATATATATACTAGCTGGCCCGGTCCGCGTTGCCGGTCCGTAGTTTTAGTCTTTAATGCAAATTTTGTATACAATAATATTTCACAAATCTGGCTCATAAAGGTGAACAATACCTATGGAAGAAGGGCAAAATAATTTCTGAATAGTCAAAGTTAATTACACTTTTACACCCATTACCATAGCACCTCAAATTGCGCATTAGAGTCCCCAAAAAGTATATGTTCTTGTTCATAGTAAAATTCAATGACGATTAAACAATGCCCGTGTTGTTGTCCGCCAATCGGTAAAAATCACTATAGATCGGCGGCCCTGGGAACTATATGGGGACTGTACCAAAATATTTACCTATGTTGGCATTTTTCTGTAAGATGGTTCTCTACTCACAAAGTAGCCTAAATACAGCAAAATCGATTGGAAAATGTGGTCAAGACCCTCGAAATAGAAAAGCCAAGATGCCAAATAATAACCTAATCAATTAAAAACGTGGCCAAGACCACAGTCATAGCTGAAATCAGGGATATATTCATATGAGGGTTATTCCAAAACGTGACCCAACCAATATTCTCTTGGGGGATAGAAATTCAATAGAATACAAAATTTTCTTTTCTGACCACAAATTAGATGTGAAAGTGGACTTGGGGATACTCCAATGTGGGGGCTTTACTTAATTAAATTCCTATGTGGCAATTATCTGTATGATGGTTCCCTAACCCAGGGTAGCATAAATAACATTTTTTAGCCAATCAATTGATGAATGTGGTCAAGACCAAAATGGGCCCTACTCTGAAAATTTCAAATTTTATGCGTAGAGATTCTCTATCCCCTTAGAAACAAAGATGCAAATAATAAGAATGTTGCATTTTGAGCTCTCATTGGACGGATTATTGTCACATGAAAAAAGTAGGTCCACGCTTTGAAATGAGCCCCATTAGGCTTTTTTGGTCATTTTTGTTTGTTTAAGTGTGTTCGCATCTTCCAGCTGAACCACGATGTTGGCCCTGGAGTTGAAAGGTAGATGTCAGTTAACATCCTATTTCGCACTCATTTCATTTTTTGGTATGAAATTGTATATAGTGAAAAATTACTCTTTATTCTGTTCACAAAAAATCCACTGAATTCAATATGATAATACAAATTGAAAAAAATTGACAAAAAAAGAATA